ATTTTGTTGCGTAAAATGGTGTTTTCTTGCTCTAATTTTTCAATTTTCTCTGTTGTTACTGATTGATTACTTTTGAGTACTTCATTTTCTTTCTTTAGCTCCAATATTTCAGCGTGCGCATATTCCAAAGAGTGCTTAATTTCTTTCATATCAGTTTCAATACTGTCAAGCTTCTCGAGTTTCTTCATCATCATTTGAAACATCTCTTGGATTTCACTCATTTTAATGGTTTCTCCCTCTTCTTTTACCTCAGTTCGTCTCTCTGGTGTATTAGGTTTTGGAATTTTTGATTTTACAGGCTTATTTGGCGTACAAGGGTTAATATTATTGAAATTTTGCGCGGTACGCTTGGAGGCGTGTTTTTTGTCCGGCATCTGATACCCTTTCACTAATTTTCACGATTCTTTATCTAAAAGATCACAAGAAGCTCCAGGAGTACCATTGTGATCAAAATTAGTGCGGTCACTGCTCCGTTTGTGATACAAAACAACGACATAACCATGGTGATCATGAAGGATGTCCACCTATAATTTGTAAATACCAACAACAAACCAACATGTACGTTTTCAGTCACAAGAAGAGTTTTGGATACCGTACTGATCAAGCACTGTATTCCAAAAAAATATTCCGTATTCCATTTTACTGCATATGTAATTAAGATACACTATATGATGAAAAAGCACATACATTGTTTTACATTGTTCATAAATTGTTTTCTTGTGCTTGGATACCCTGGTGAAACATTCATGCTACAGACATGCAAGTGTGCATCATTTAGAAACTATGACTGTGAGTAGGCGGAACTCATAAGCTCTGAAAGGTACTCCACTTAAAAGAGAAAGTGAATTTTACAATACTAAACTGAACTATCCAAATTGTATTAGTAGATAAATGTTGCTTCACAGTTACCCAGACATATAGTACCATCAAGCTTTAATTTTTAGTGTATCAAAAATAAACAAGTAATTTAAGACACTAAAACAGAAACAGAAACAACAGAAACAATTTATTTGTACCTTAAATCAATTTACATAGTGAAATTACAGTTGCAGAATAATATAGATGATAGGCACAGGCTTCGAAAAATAACCTTAATAGGCTAAAAATGCCAGGAAGCCCAACTTTACAGACATTTTTATATTCGGATCTATGGTCGAAAACTTATATCATTTAAGGTACAAGCACATAGAATATTCAAATCACAACATATAATACACACATAGTACCGCACATGGATCTACACATATATCATGAAATTTACAAAGGTTATACTATTCGAGAGCAAATACAAGAGACAAAGTTATTTAGAAGAGTTTTTAGAAACTAAGGTCAATATTGATTTAAATCGTCATCTTTCAGCTTTTTTTTAAATTTATGATAGGAAAAAGATTTTACCGTTTCTTCTATACTATTCCAAGTTTTAGTTCCCAGGAAACATATATTAAATAAACCATAATTAGTTCTTGCCTTAGGAAGATAATACGATTTTTTCGAGGCCAGTCTTGTACTATAGTTGTGAACTGCGTCTACTGTTATGAAAAATCCGTTGAAAGTAGACGGTAATAGTTCATGATAGAATTTATGCATAAAACATGCAACAAAAATTTTAGGAGGGGTCACTGGAATACTAAAAGGACCAGCAGCCTTTTCAATTCTTAACTTGGAGATTTCGTCTTCAATTTCAATATATGTAACAGGAGAAATGAAAAAGCTACTGGACGGAGGATCTGTTAAATATTGCAGAGGTGACTTTTGAGCGGTAGGAATTGTAGCAGCTAGGGCATTTCCTATGTTAGAGAAATAATCATTGAAAGCATTAGCAATTGCAATAGGATCAGTTATCTCATTTACCCCATCAACAATTTTCACAATTCTCCTATTTTCCTTAGACTGAAAATGAATTATTTGTTTTATACCTTTCCAGACTCTTTTAGTGTCATTTATACTGTGAATAAAATAATTATTATAATATTTTCTTTTACTAATTTTTAATATATTTAATTTATTTCAATACAATTTAAATTTGGAATGATAATCCGTAGCTTCTATGTTAGCTCAGAAGTTTAAGGAAAGCCTAATCATATTATTACCATCAAGTTCGACTGTTACTGCTGATGACTCAAACAGTACTTTTACTTTTATGCCCGTACCAAAAGAATTTGTCTTGATGGAACTGAAACGACTAAAGACTAATAAGGTGATTGGTCTTGATGGTATAAGCGCGCGTTTGCTGAAAGATTCTGCAACTGTAATTTATAAAAGTCTAACGACTTTATATAATCGATCACTTGACTTGAGAATGCATCTTATCCTGCAATATGGAAAAGTGGAAAAGTCGTAGCCTTATTTAAGTCAGGAGACAGCATGGCCTGTAATAATTATCGACCAATTACTATATTACCAACAATGAGCAAGATCTTGGAGCGTGCAGTTCATCGACAGCTTTACGATTATATGGTGGATCACAACATTTTAACATCCAAACAATTTGGTTTTCGCCCAAAATTATCTACCGTGTCAGCCCTTACACATTTCACTGATACTATTTTGCATAATCTTGATAATGGCTGTATGACTGGTGCAGCTTTCCTTGACTTGTCGAAGGCGTTCGACACGGTCGATCATGGTCTATTGATAAAAAAACTCGAGGCAATCGGTGTGAATGTACATGCTATTGAGTGGTTTCGATCCTACCTAGAGAATCGTCAGATGAGAACGTTTGTCGGCAATGCCCAATCTGCGGGCTGTGAAATTTCTGTTGGAGTCCCCCAAGGAAGCATTCTTGGCCCTCTCTTGTTTATCCTGTACATAAACGATCTTCCAACATCCTTGAGTAACTGTGATGTGATGATATATGCTGATGACACTGTAATTTATTATAGTGGAAATTCCGTGAAAGAGATCCAAGATAAGGTTAATGAAGATCTTATCAAGTTAGCATGTTGGTTCAATTCTAACCTCTTCACTCTAAATGTCGCGAAATCTAAATTTATGATGTTTGGAAGTAACCGTTCCAGTAAGTTCCGGGATGTTCACAAAATTACAGTTTATGTCGGAGAAAATCAACTGGAAAGGGTTGAGTCATTCAAATATCTTGGCATTACAATTCACCAACATATGAAGTGGGCTGATCATATTGATGAAATTAGTAAAAAGATAAATCAAAGAATCGGTTTAATACGAAGAATAAAGACCCTTTTACCCGTCTATGCGAGGAGAACCTTGTATATGAGTTTGATAGCTCCGTTATTCGATTATGCTGATACTGTCTGGGGAGACAAAAACAATGACACTCTAATGAAAGCCCTACAAATTCTACAGAACAGAGCAGCAAAGATAATCTTGGATAAGCCAAAGTATAGTTCAGCAACCGAGGCACTTACTCTCCTTAATCTACAACCCTTATTAGAACGTAGAAAGTCCCACCGTCTTACTGCGATGTTTAAGTGTTTAAAGAGTGAGAGTAACTTTCCTGTTGACTTTGTAATGAACAATAATATTCATAGTCATTTTACCAGATCTAGAAATAATATATATTTATCGAAGGTAAAAACTAATTGGGGTAAACAAAGGTTTGTTTACCAGGCTGCATGTGAGTGGAACACTTTACCTGAGAGCATAAGAGACTGTCAGAGTTTACAACTTTTTAAATCTAGGTTATGAACGTTTTACTATTCGCACTTTTTAACTTTTTAACTAGTTTTAATAGATGTAATATAATAATTGTATTTTAGCAGGGCCCTACTGAAAACCGCTTTGGCGATGTAGGCTCACTGGGTAAATACTGTTATAATAATGTTGTGTTATCCAAGGCTTTGATTTCAACTTTATTTCTTTCCTTGATAATTCTTTAACAGGTATATGTTTATCAATTATTTCAGTTAATTTTGAATAAAAAAGATCAAACATTAAGGAAGGATCATTACATGTGCCAACCTGAAGAACTGTATGCCAGTTTACAAGTTGAAAGTCATTTATTAAATCTGATTCATTAAGCTTTGAATAATCTCTCCTATACACATTAACATTTGAAGGAAGAAGAGAGAATTTTTCAATTATGACAAAATTTGGCAAATGATCAGTCAAATCATACACCACATTTCCACTTATAACAAAATGTTCAATTGAGTTAAGAAATATATTATCTATTAATGTTGCAGAATGGTCAGTTATTCTAGTTGGCTGTAAGATTTGTGGATGAAAGAAAAAAGAACCCAGTGTATTTAAGAAGTCATCGGATGCAGTGTGTGATGTTATCCTTAAAATATCAATGTTAAAATCCCCCATGATTAAACAAAGTTTATTCTCCCTATGAATTATATCATTAGTTGAATCAATATATTTCATAAAATTTTCCAAATTACCATTAGGGTGTCTATAAATAACACCACATATATTTGGTTGACCCAAAGTCTGGATTTCAATCCAGAGGCCCTCAAAGTCTAGATCGTTGGCTGTTATATCATTTCTAATCTTAAAATTAAAATTATTTTTAATATAAAAAGCCACTCCTCCAGCATTAGAAAGACTTGGTTTATGAAGGAACTCGTATCCAGTTAGTTGTATATTAGTTAGAGGATCCTGACCTTCTCTCATCTTAATTTCAGAAAGCCCAATTAGAGAAAAGGGAAAATACAATGCAGACAGCATATCTACAAGGCTGTTATGATTAGCTGACAAGCTCCTAATATTACAATTTAATGCCGAAAATGAACCAGGATGAGATAAGCACTCACATATATCATGATTAGAATGAAATCATGTGTAGTATAATAAGCAAAATTTTGATCGGAGGGCATATTTAAATCAATATCAAGATTAGTTGAATGGGGAATATTTGATAGTGGCGATGTTATATTTAAATATGGCAGATTATTAAGCTCTAGTAAAGTATCATGAACACTAGATGTAGACAAAGTACAACGACTACATTTCACATATGAAGCAGAAGACATAGTCATTACTATAAATAGAAATAAAATATAGATAAGTGAGTGTACTTAGCTCGGTAGTTTAGTGAGCTCATCTTTATTCTTGATATGGATAACTGAACTTCCTTCATTCTGTCTTAAATATATCCTGCCATTAGAAGTCCAAATAAATTTGTAATTGAGTTCCTTCTTTGTTCTCAGGCAATGTTTGAATAATTCTTTATTCTTTTCCGTCAAACTTTCGTTAATATAAATAAGATTTGAGATCCTATACCCAAGATCGCAAGTTGTCTTATTCTTTAACTTGTTTCGAGATCGAAAGAAAGCTTCTTTAACATCTCTTCGAGTGAATTTCACAATTATAGCTGGTGTTGACTTGTTTCCCTTATATCTCTTGTTAGTAGGCAAACGGTGACTTACAGATAAATCTTCCTGAGCAATCTCAACACCCATGAGTTTACCAACTTTACAAGCAATATCATTAGTTGACTCTTTAACTACTCTTCAGAGATGGGTGTGCCTTGGATTTCCACGCATTCTCGTTGTGAATATTGTTCAAGTTCATTCAATGAATTTTGTACATGGAATAAGTGGTCTTCAGTACATTGAAGGGCAGATTTTAAAATTTTATTTTCTTCCTGTAATTTAATTCTCTCCTCCTCATGAGTTTTAAACTTCATCATTACCTCCTCGTACTGAGAATTAGCTAATTCAATAAAGCGCATTGCATCTTCAAGCTTAAAGCTCAACTCAGAAATTTTCAGATTCAAAGGTGTTAGTTTCTGGTCCAGTTTCTCGTCTAACATTGTTTTTAATTGCTCTGCAGTAATATTATTAGACATTGTAGATCACAATGATAACAAATAGACAAAGATATTAACAAAAAGTATAATACAAATGACAGAATTTACAAAAATATTTTCAAATTTATAGGAGCAGTAAAATGCACATTCGCCATCTTACTCGACCCAGGCTTGGCGCAAAAAAATCAATGCACTAATTGTTGTGTTTGAATACATTTATATTTGAATATCTGATATATGAATTTAATGGCTTGCTCCTTATGAAGTAAAATACTACCATAAGACTTTAGACTTAATCCCATTAACATGCTGAGGATTTTCATTAAAATGTATGGTGGTAGCAAGCAAGGGAGGGTGTAATATTTTTTTAAGCCTTGCACATTGAAATATATATAAGTTACAGGTGCCAAGTTTCTTCTTTTAAAATATCTAAGACTACCTCCTTTTAGTGGGGAGATCTTACTATCTGTAACACATGGTAAAGGTCCAGAATGTTTTAGGATTGCAACAACCACATTTGCTACACTGGAACACTTTCTGGTATGGTTGATAGTTCCACAATTTTGAATCCTGCAATAACAATGTAGTATGAAGGTCAGGCAGATGTATTATATTAACTTCTAATTAAACTTGAGATGAGCTCACTATCATCCTTTATCCAAATTTAATAATCCAACAATAATAGTAAACATTAGATCATTTATGTGCAGTTTTTCTGTTTCAAACAAACTTACCATCTGGTCACTGCTGCTCTCCCATCTCCTTCGATGCATGTGTTTAGAAAAAACCACCGAAGGTTTAGTTTGTAGAAATTTCGCCCTTGAATGTTTCATTATTAACAATCACGTGCAAAAAATGCAGAGGTGACCCACAATATATCCTCGAATAGAAGTTTTTCAAAAGATTGAATTCCTTGCCTTTTAAAAGACAATTATTTTTTTTAAAGCTCCACTCCTGATGCATCCTCCATTTTAATTTAGTTTCCTTTATACTTCATGTTGTGCAAATGAAATGGATTAAGACCATAACAAAAAATGTAAACAAAGCTTGCACATGCGCAAAAACAACTGAAACCTGGCTTTAAAGGACATTGGCAACGAAAATTTTTATTCGCTATTTTTAAAGTGTTCAACCGTCTAATCATAGATATGGCGTTAATTTGTTCCAAAAATGTTTCGTTTATGAGTTATTTTCACCACAATTCAGCTAAAATTTGGACCTCGTCCGCCATATTGGATCAATTTTTGAAAAAATTATATTTGGCGGAAGTGACGTCATTTGATGGGTTCCCTAAACACATCAATATATTTTACTAGCGTGTTTACTGTGTTTATCGAGATTTTTTGCTTTAAAAAGGGAGTTGCATTTTTTTATGATTGTCATGGAACATATTAATGAAAACCATGCAGTTAGAGGAAGTGTTGCCCTATCAATATGAGCCAGAGGTGCAGGGAAAATCTTGTGATATATATCTAGCGATGATAGCGATGCCAAAAACGGTAGTGATCCATCTTCCTCTGACGAGGATTTCAATTGCGAGTTCGAAAGAGCGAATGCGGGGCGCCTTGAAGAACTTAGTTGGTGTAAATGTGGACATTGCGCATTATTAACAAGGGCTGTAGTGTAGAATGTTATTGCTGCTATGAAAAGCACTAGAGTACGACGAATACGAACATTTCGCAAACTCGCGCTTTGTTATGTGGTGAACTCAAATAATATTTTGTCGTGTCATATGACATGTCCATTTGATTTTCTCATATGATACGGCAATTCCTCCAAAAGGAACAAATAAACCGTTCGTTTGATGCTGTTCGATTAAGTTTAGATTTAGTTGGGGAAAGAATATATTTAATATATATAGATTCTGGTCCTATTTTAATATTATCGCTGCTATTTCGCCGTTTAACAAGATATGATCATTTACGGGTGCATTGACACGTCGCAGTTAATTTGCACAGGATTGAATTTTTAATATATAAAGCACGAATTCCAAAGTGTAAGACAAAGTGAACGTATCATAGGTTTATTTACATTTTTGAACAATTGAACTTCTATGCTTTTTAAAGTACAATGAGCTTCTGAATTTCATGATCGAACAACATTTAGGTTTGCAAGGCATCTAAATGAATATGAAATGTATTGTTTATGTTCAGAGCCTTTATATTGAAGGCTAGCATGTGCGCGGCAAGCCGGAGTTAACGCCAGAAAAGGCGTCTTGTTTATGCTGAAATATAGTAAAATTGTAAACAGGGGAAAATATGCGTGCCTTAGCTTTAGTATAAATCTAAATATAAGTAGAATTCTAAACTTTGGGAGATTGGTTATTAGTTGTGTTGTGTATCGACGTGCACTACGTGTGTAAATATGTGTGTACCTAGTTCATAATCAATGTTCTCTTCGAAATATTTTGAAAAACATGTCCCCGCAATGTTGATGCATCAATTTTGCATAGGTATTTGATTCTGTTCCCCCTCTATACTCTATTTTACCAAATTTTTCAAGTTGCCATATGAGAATACAACAATAGTTTATATCATTTATATATATAATCATATTTCCGAACCCATCAAATGACGTCACAAATGTATGCTAGCATAAATTAGCATAAGGCTCTATTTTCAAAATGGCGGACCACTGATGAACATTTTTAGAAATTTTCTCAAGAACCAAATACGATAGACACACAAAAACATTAAATTAAGTATTTCCTAGATGATTTTAACATATTTGGCAAATAAAAATTTTCGTTGCCAATGTCCTTTAACACCAGAAGATTTTATTTGTCATACAAACATAGAGTAACCTCAGTTAAATGAAGTTGTTTAAATCATTGACTTCAGCGATATCAAAAATTTATATCAGCAAGCTTATTAATAAAACATAAACATCATCTACTTTGCATATCACCATCTTACCCATTAAACCATGTTATTTTTCATATTATCTGGTATCCCTGTATCAATATTAAGAATTAATATCTAGCCAGATACCTGGAAATATAAGCGCCACAAAATCATAATTGAAACATTAATATTCACAGTCTTGAAAGGGCAACAGTGTTCTTCTATATATTATGTTTAGAATGACACACTTATTAGGATAAACTGACAGTCTGAAATAAAACCCAAAATTTCTATATGAATTATGGCATATTACTTTGGAAATGAAAATATATTCTTTAATATATGGTTGTATTTAGTTTTATATTATTAAATACAAAAACTAGAATTATGATGGAGCATATAATTTACATGTCAAGGGAAGAATCTTGCAGCTCTGTTACAATGGGTATAATAAAAAGAATCTATCTGCCGATCTATCTGCTATTATTAAATAAAGTAAGTGGCTTCATTTCCTTTAACACCAGACAATTTTATTTGTCATACAAACATAGAGTAACCTCAGTTAAATGAAGTCGTTTAAATCATTGACTTCAGCAATATCAAAAATTTTTATCGGCAAGCTTATTAATAAAAAATAAACATTGTCTAATTTTCATATAGCATTAAAGTTCATGTGAGTGAATAAAAAACCCAATTTGCGCTTATTCACGAGTTTGGTCAGCCATCTTTGATTCTCAGATGCACAGTACTGATTGTAAAGCCGGTTTTCCACTTGCAAATTTTTTCGAGCGAAGCGATAATTTTCAAGGCGAAATATTTCGCGTGAATGGTTAATTGTTTTCCACATGAGACAAAAAATGTGCGAAATATAAAAAAGAGTACGTACTTTTAAAAACAAAATGGCCGCATTGAACACTAGACGACTTCTATTGCTACGAAATAACTTGTTAAGGTTGTTATTGCTGCCACGGCGACGAAAGCGATTGATCAAGTACAAAAAAGATTTTGGATTTGATGTGTATATGCTGAACGGCGACAAAAAGGAGAATTTCATCTGCTAGTTAAAGAGCTTAGTCTTTACGATCAACAGTATTTTTTCCAATGTTTTCGCATGTCACCAACACTTTTTGAAGAGCTGCTCTCATGGGTAGCACCACAGCTTCAAAAACAAACTACAAAAATGCGAGAGCCAATCGATCCCAAGGAAAGATTATGCATTTGTATACAATACTTGGTAACAGGGGATGCCCAAATCACGATAGCAACCTTGTATAGAATGAGCCCTGCGGTTGTTGGCAGGATAATAAATGAAACATGCAAGGCATTGTGGAAGACTTTGATTGAAAAAGGTTTCCTAAAACAACTGTCTACGGAAGAAGAATGGAAATTGCTAGTGAATTCGAAAAATACTGGAACTTTCCACATTGCGTAGGTGCCTTGGATGGCAAGCATGTGGTGATGCAGGCTCCAGCGAACTCAGGGTCAATGTATTTTAATTATAAAAAACGATCAGTATTGTCCTTATGGCCATATGCAATGCACGCTACCAATTTACTTTGGTTGACATTGGAGACTGTGGTAGGCAAAGTGATGGCAGTGTTTACAATTGTAGCAATTTGGGTTTTGCAATTGAAAACAATAAACATAACATTCCTGGCCCAGCAGCACTTCCGAATTCTCAAAAGGTTCTTCCATATGTGTTTGTTTCTGATGACGCTTTTGGGTTAAAAAATCACATGATGAAGCCTTTTCCGTCACAGAATCTGCCTACTGACGAACACATTTTTAATTACAGGCTCTCTCGAGCTAGAAGGGTGATTGAGAACGCATTTGGGGTAGCTGCGTCGAGATTTCGAATATTTTGGCGCCCAATAATTGCCAAAGTTGGAAAGGCTAAAGCTGTTACAAAAGCTGTAGTTGCCCTACATAATTTTCTAATGAGTCGCAACTATTCTAATGCACACCAGTATTGCCCAAGAAATTATATCGATAACGAAAATGCAACAGGCGTTGCTCCAGGAGAATGGAGGAGTAACGAAGATGACATCTTGGGCCTGCAACCACTTGGTCGAATCGGTTCCAATAACTATTCTCAACATGCATCATTGGTAAGACAAGGATTTAAAGAGTACTTTAAAGCAGAAGGATCAGTTGAATGGCAATGGGAAGTAGTAAATAGAAGTGTCACACATTATG